AGAGGTAAACTCAACTTTATTGAACATTCTGCTTTTCATATTCTTTTGTTTATATCAAAACTTGTTGAGGATTATAAATGAGCTATTGTTTTGCACTCGCTGAAATTAGTACTTGTGAATCAATTCTAAGTATCTATTCTGATAGATTGCAATTGTTTTATTACACATATCATTGTGAATATGTATATGAAAATTTGGATAAAAGGGGTGAGCAGCTATGTCAAAAAATAATATTATTCAAATTGAGAATAAACTGTAATGAAAACGATAAAAAAAATCTTGATCAAATATGAACATTAAATCGTTTAAATTAAAAAGAGAGATTCCATTTGAACAGTTTTATCCAAACGAGCTAGCAACATTGAAATTCTTATTTTCCAAACATTTCAACATCTAGAATCTAGATAAAAATTCTCCAAAAGTAGTTAACAATTTGTTTATTCAGTTTTTATGTGCTCATTAAACTTCTATTTTTCTTATATCTTCTCCCTTAATTGAACAACTTATCAAGTATAAAAAATTACGAGTGCACATAATGAAAAAGAAGCCTCAAAAATGATTAATGCACAATTCTTCAAGTGGCTTCTGTTTTAATCCCTATGACTTCTTCATTATCTTTTCGTTTATATTCTTGAACTTTGTGAAAATTTTATTAAAAAGAGTAAGCAGCATAACAAGAACATTTAAAAAACAACAAGAACCAGAGATTGTTAATTAAACGCCACAAAAAGACATTAAATTTATAAGTTGTTTATTCATGCATTATTTGAGGATAAATTTAATATTTTTCGAGTGCATATAAAGAGCAGCATAAAAAAATAACAAATTTCATTATGGCTTAAAATTGAATTCATTTTTCACTTAACGGGGTGACAAAGAATTGGATTTAATTTATTTATGTGAGACATGAAAAGAGAAGTTCTTTTTTGATTTATTCCATTATTCCACTGTTCGACATGATTCAAATACAAATGCAGGGGTGAAGTCAGAGAAACAATAGAAGGGATGGAGGCAGTTCCATTTATTAGAAAATCATAAAATATTCATTTTGTCCTTTATGTTAAAACTTTTGAAGTGGGAATGGGTAAAGACTAGCGATGCAGCAAGAAACTTAGGCGCCTGCGGTAAACTTAAGACCTTACGATTTTATAAGAAATTATCCAAGGGTGTGTTACTGAAGAATTACATTTTGATTATTTTTGATCAATTTTGATCATTTTCGATAATTTTTTTGATCATTTTTGATCATTTTTTGATAATTTTTGATCATTTCATCAGTACCACATCCTTGAAATTATCATAAAGTTTCAATGAACTTCTTCATATTGCTCGAAAGTTGTGATCTAGAGCTGTTTGAACCCCCTTACTACACCTCTGACTCCATATACATGTGTCAAGAGTCATTAAATTCAGGGATCTCATTTTACTTCCATAGAACATGAAACAAAAAGAAAGAATAGAGATTTAATTTACGTGATAACTTCACTTTATTAGGTTTTATTGAAATCAACAATAGATTTAATATTTCGAGTAGAATAAAGTGGCATTTTAATGAAATGTTACGAAATATGATGATAAGGCATGTTGAGTCCTAAAAGTCATATTGCTCATAAAACTTCCCTAAAGTAAATTGAGTGAAATGTATGTCCTATTTAATATTATTCTTACGCACACAATTAAAGGTCTTATTAAATATTTCTGAACTACTTACTCACAATTTCATGTGGAAGTCCATAAAATTTTCATAACATAGGAAAAAAAGTCAATAATTTCTTTCTTCTCGTTCCTCTCATTTGGTTATAGAGTTGAATATCCTTTTTCAAGGTCGTTCAAAATCGTTGGAGCGTGGAAAAGAAAAGAGAAATGTAAAATGAGATTCTTTCGGTACCTTTCTACGACAATTTTTGTAATCGAAAAAATTTCTCTTCCTCATTCTAAATTTTATCATGTCGGCAATGTTTTTACTGTGAATAATGTTATCGAGGGTTCTTCAGGCTTTATAACTTTTCACAACAAAAAAGAAATTTTTCATTATTCTAATTCATTGAATCCATTTTTATATGCGATTTATCATTAGACACATTACTATAGCAATGAAATTAAAAATCTAGTGCTATGTGAGTCGTGGGTCAATGACGTCCATGGGATTTTCGGCCTCATCTTCTGTCTTTAAAATATTTTTTTAAAATAAACAATTTTTATAGGTTTAGACCTTAATTATCCCTCATAAATGCTTGACGATGACCTAAAGTCTAACATTGAAGACGTCTAGGATCGAACAACATTCAGGAAGGAGGGAAAAGCTATTTCACACAGCCTTAAAAAGAATAATGCATTAGGTTTTGTTTTATAGTGATAAAATACAAGCCCAGTATTAAATGGACGTAATTTACGTACAGCCCCAAAAACTTAAAATACAATGAGTGTGCAGAGAGATGTAACAATCACCCTCCTCTCATGAGATGATATAAATTTATGATTCACATTCAATATTATTAAAATTACTTTACCATCGTCCCTTAGTTTGGATTTTTAATAAATTCTGACGACATAATCGAGAATAAAGAAGAAATTTTCCAATTTCGATGCTTGAAAAATTTATGATTTAATTTTTTGGAATTAATTAGATCACATAGCTATGACATACATTCACATTAGATACATATATCTAATTTATTTTTGTAACTTGTGAGGTTAATGGCTCCACAATGTGTCATGTACGAGAAACTTTTTGCATTAGCACATAGTCTTTGAAAGAGTAAGAAGAAAGGGTGTTTTAAAGGAATTTTTAATCAGTTACATCAAATATTTAAACATGAAAATTCCGGGTAGATTTTGACATAAAATTCTTTAATTTCTTCGACAAACAAATGACACGAAATTTAAAAAATGTTTAAATAAACTTTGCATAAAGAATGTGATTTAGATTTCGGTTCATGAGCAAATAATTGTAACATGTGCTGCATCTAATCCCTTTCTCTCTTTATCAGGCTGTGCAGGAAATTTAATATTTTTTGCGTTTAAAATGCATAGAATTTTACTTCAACAAGAATTGTTTCTAAAAAGGTCATGAAGAGGGAGAAATTTTACACTCATCTCTAATAATACAGCCCCGAAAAACGATGATTCTCGAGGGGAAACTTTCTATTAAAATAGATAGCTTCGTTGGCTTAAGTTTTAAGAACTGAGTAAATATTCTAGAAGGAAATTCACATCATTCGACTTTCATATTCACATAATATTTCATTTTGTCAGATTCTTCATTACTTGACAGGTGATCTGGGAATGAAATTCATCATTTCCTGGAAATCAGTGAGGGATTGATGCAAGCCTTCATGAATAAAAGATGTAGAAAAATGAGGATGCAACAATATTACCTATTATCATTAAATTATTATTTATTTAGTATGTTTGTGCAATTTTGGGAGAGATTCAGTGTTGGCAAATAAGATTTCTGGGTCAGTACACATTGTAGGTACTTAATTTAATCGTAACTTAACCAAACAAGATCCAGAAGGTATCTAGTTTAGATAATTAAAACAGAATCTTAGCTAATCTTGATAGTTTGATTTAAAGTAAGTTTAGGTTGAAATTATCACCAAATGACCACAGCAACAAGTTCTAAGCTCATTTTAAGTCTATACTAGCCAAGATATCAACCCTGAACAGAAATGAGAAGTGAATTGATTGCATCCAATAATAGAAACATTTTTCATGATGGCAACAATGGTGCAGACATAGACATAGGGGTTCATCATCTGCAACATTAGTTCAATATCTTTGTAACATTTATTGAGCATCATGATAGCGAGAAATTGATCATTGTTATGTGCATAGCGGGATTATAAAGATTCTTGGGTAGTCATTCCCACTTCTCCTTCCATTCCTTTGAGTTTCTAATCTAATCTATCTATTTTTCAATATTATTTATGCTGCCTGACGATTGCATTAAGCCAAGTGTGCTCTAAAGGGGGTGAAAATGTGCAGTTTTTTATGCCTCTTGCAGTCAGAGTAGGGATCACACTCTATTGTTACCAAAATTGAACCCTAATCTGAAGTTTTCTTATTCACTACATGATACTTTCTGTATGGATATAGTGGTCGAATGGAACTTGAATTGCAATTGAAAGGGAAATTTTATTGTTATTGCCAATATTTCAATTTCTATGATTTACTTCCTTGATGTCTTTCATGTATTCCACAAATAAAACACATTTTGCTGCCACTTTTATTTTGTATCTAATTTAATTTAACAACAAGAAACTCCTGCCCTTTACTATATACTCATGTATATACATAGATATAAATAATAACATGTAAGGCATTCACTATTTTCTAAAGCATTAACCTAAATTCGTTAAAAAAAATTTAGGGATTAAAGGCATAATGCTATAATTTGCTTCTGTATTCTGTTTCGCTACTTTCAGCAAGTAAATAAATAATGAATTCTATTTCTATTGCGTATAATTATCGCATCGCGGCCTTTTAATCCAACATAAAGAAGAAAGTTCTAAAAATATATTCACTTTGATTCTTCCTTTATTTATTCTTTTCTGGTTCTGTAATTCTTTTAATCGAAAAGTTTTACTAGAGGAACTACAAAAAGTTAACAAAAGTGATGAAAGAGAATTCTTAGCAAATTGATTTTATAAATATTTTGGGGGTCCTCGTTTTAAATAATTCTAATTCATTTGTTCCTGAAATTGATTAAATTTATTTTTGATATTTTAAATCACTTAAATCGAGTTCAACCTTTGAATTTTACAAATCAGAAAAGAATCACTCATCAGAATTAATTCAAAACGGGGACACCTTTATTCATTAAAACCACCAAACCATTGAAGCATTCAGACAAGATCTAGAAAGTCCCGTGAGCATGAAAGGGCGACGAAGCGATTAAAACGGGAATAGGGACGAAATCATTGAATTATTTTAATTTTTTTTTTTCTAAAGGTTTCATGTCTTTAATAATTTTTTTCATTATTCTAATCTCATTATAGATCTGCATTGTGACTTATGTTTTATGATGAAAATTAATTTCGGCAACGAGCGAACATAAGAATTTAATTAAAAATGTAAGATATAAATGAATAATATTAAAAACTCAGCAAATTTATTAATAAAGTTTTTTTAAATTTATTTCCAGTTTTACAAAGTCAGCAAGATGAGGTGCTCATGGCATCGGTCGATGTCATTTGGCACGTTACTGCTGCTTCTTCTTTCATGCATATCGTTGACATTATCACAAATTCTTTCGAATGATGTTAATCGCTATAATACAGACAGGAATGAGAGGAACTACGATCAAATTTCAACGCTACCGTATCGAGCGAATGTAAACGACGATCTCGACCAAAAGACGCCAAATTATCGAGAATCATTTGGAAATTCAATAGATAATAATCCATTTAGTTCAGGGCGTGACTTTGATCAGCGGCAGTCTGTAAGAGAGCGTGAACGTGAACGAGAGAGAGAAAGAGACAGGAATAAACCAAGAAATCGCGATAGAACAAATATTGGAACATCTTATGCTAGAAATCCTCTTATAGATCAGAGTCTTAATAATCCACTCATACATGATGCAACATACTTTGTTATTGCATCGAAAATGGTTCGACCAAATCAAATTTATCGCGTGTACGTTTCCGTCTTTATTGAAAGTGAAGATCCAATTACCGTCCGAGCATCAATCTCACGTGATGGAGTTGAAATGGGTTCTGATTCTCAAATTATCAAGACTGGTGAACCGGAAACACTTTTAATGAAAGTACCTCCAACAACAGTACCTGGCGAATATAAATTAAGAGTTGAAGGAAAATATGAGAAAGCATTTGGAGGAATTGCATTCACGAATGAAACAAAATTAACATTCTCGCAGCGATCCATGACTATTTTTGTACAAACTAATAAGCCTGTTTATAAGCAAAATGATCTCATTCAATTCAGAGTAGTTCCAATCACAACAGAACTTAAAGGATTCGATAATGCAGTTGATGTTTATATGCTGGATCCAAATCGTCATATTATGAGACGATGGTTGTCACGACAATCAAATTTGGGTACGGTTAGTTTAGAGTATCAATTATCTGATCAGCCTGTCTATGGAGAATGGATTATTCGTGTTGTAGCTCAAGGTCAGGAAGAGGAACAAAAATTCTTAGTTGAGGAATATTACCAAACTAGATTTGAAGTAAATGTGACAATGCCTGCATTTTTCTTCGACACTGATCCTTACATGTATGGTAAAGTTATGGCTAATTTTACAAATGGATCTCCAGTTCGAGGAAATTTGACTTTACGTGCTATTATTCGGCCAATTGGATTCTTTAATCCAAAAAATATTAATCAACAATTTAGAGTTTGGAATTTAGGATATGAACCAGAAGAAGATCCAAGAAATCCAAGATTCGATAGCTATAAAAGAACGATTTACAACTACAATACAGAGTTATACTCAGGAAAGGCTGGATTTAGTACCAATAATCCATTCACCTACAACAACAACAATAATAATAATAATTACAATCCTACAAATCCATACTCTCCAGCTATTGATCAAAGTACAGATCAGAGATATATCGGAACAGGCTATCAAGATCAATATGTTGTAGAAACTCATTACAATTTCGATGAAGATTGGCCATTCTGGATTGACAAACCTGAATACACATCATATTCATATTCAGACCGATATGGAGAACATTATGGAAATAGATTACCGTACTTAAGATTCTTCAATGGAACATTTGATTTTAAATATCCAATGCAGGAACTAAAAAACATTGTTCCAAGTTTAGCAAATATGGAAATCTTAGTGATTGCTCGAGTCGGTGAAAAGTTTTATGATGAAATTATTGAAGGCTATTCGATTGCTCGTGTGTATAATTCATCAATTAAGGTATCATTCATGGGAGGATCTCCTCAAATTATTAAGCCAATGATGCCAATGACAACATATATTGTGGCTGAATATCATGATGGATCTAAACTTCCAATTGAGAATTATTATCAATCAGTAATGGAAGTTTCAGGACGTGTTGAGAGTAGAAATGGAGGTAGTCGAGATTTTCCATTGACAATCCTACCAATGAGTGGACAACCTGGAGTATGGGAATTGAAAATTGATTTAAGAAATGATTTGAAACTTGGTGATGATCGAGTCAGTAAAGATTTCTTAAGAGAAGTTTCTCAAGTAAGACTAACTGCAAATTACATTGATCCAAGGGGTGATAGAGCACAATCTGAGATTCTGTTTCTCTCACATTACTCACCACAAAATAATCACATTAAAGTAACAACAAGTACAACAAATGGACGTGTCGGTGAATACATCATTTTCCATATAGAAAGTAATTTCTTTATGGAAACATTCCAATATATGCTCATGTCTAAAGGTATGATTCTTTCAACTGGAATTGAGTCGTACAAAGATGGAGTCAAAACAATGTCAATAACATTGAGTGCAGAAATGGCACCTGTTGCAACAATGGTTGTATGGAATATTGGACAATTCGGACATATAGTTGCAGACAGTATTACTTTCCCTGTTAACGGTATCTCAAGAAACAACTTTACAGTTTACATCAATAACCGAAAACATAGAACAGGTGAAAAGGTTGAAGTAGCAATTTATGGAGAACCAGGAAGCTACGTCGGTATATCAGGTATTGACAATGCTTTCTATACCATGCAAGCTGGAAATGAATTGACATATGCTAACATCATATCGAAAATGTCGGCATTTGATGAAGATACAAATGGAACATTCAGTCATAGATGGTACTCACATGAAGGCAATCCTGATGATCTAGTCTATTATCCATCATCAACTTATGGTGTAGATGCAAATCGAACATTTGAATATATTGGCTTAGTCGTTTTTACAGATGGCTTGATTCCAAGACGTCCAGGTTATTGTAACATTTCTGTTGGACAGATGGAATGCTTAACAGGTCGTTGCTATCCAATAGAACAAAGATGTGATGGATATTTCAATTGTGACGATGGTGCTGATGAAGCAGGCTGTGACTACCATAATACAACATTACTTGCTGAGTTCCGTAAATTTAGATTCAGTCGAATTCAGAGGCACTATGATAATGTGTGGATGTGGAAGGATGTCAATATTGGTCCTCATGGTCGATATGTATTTACACTTGATGTACCTGATATTCCAGCGCTCTGGATGGTTTCAGCATTTAGCATAAGTCCTTCGCTTGGTTTTGGTATGATTCGTACACCGCTTGAATATGTTGGTTGTCAACCATTCTATATTAATGTTGAAATGCCGACTGAATGTAGACAAGGAGAGCAAGTTGGTATTCGTGTAACTGTTTTCAACTACATGACCACAGCTGTTGAATCAACAGTTGTTTTACACGGTTCACCAGACTACAGATTTGTCCACGTTGAAGAAGATGGAATTGTTGTGTCTTATAATCCACGTACATCATATGGTGAGCATCAATTCTTCATCTATCTTGAACCACAATCATCAACAATTGTTTACATACCAATCGTTCCCACGAGACTTGGTGATATTACAGTGAAAGTACATGCATCAACATTGCTTGGGAGTGACAGAATTGAAAGAGTTCTTCATGTTGAAGCTGATGGTCTACCACAATATCGTCATCAATCGATCTTATTGGATTTAACTAATCGTGCTTATGCTTTTCAATATATGCATGTCAATGTAACGGAAACGCCAATTATTCCATATGAAGTTGAGAGATACTACGTATATGGAAGTAACAAAGCAAAAGTATCATTAGTTGGAGATGTGGTTGGTCCAATTTTCCCTACAATGCCTGTAAATTCCTCGACACTTATAAACTTACCAATGGAATCAGCTGAGCAGAACATGTTCAGTTTTGCTGCTAATCTTTACACTGTCATGTACATGAGATTGATTAATCAACGTAATCGAAACACAGAAAAGGAAGCTTTTAAGCATTTGAATATCGGTTATCAACGTCAAATGAGTTACTTAATGCCTGATGGATCATTCTCACTTTTCCGTTCTGATTGGAATCAATCAGCAAGTTCAGTTTGGCTTACAGCATTTTGTGCTAGAACATTCCAAGATGCTTCTTTCTATGAATGGGAAAATTTCATCTACATTGATCCAAAAGTAATGGAAAGGAACGTCGCTTGGCTATTGAGACATCAACTACCTGAAGGTTCATTCTATGAAGTCACGTGGTCACCAGATAGAAAAGTCAATGACTCGTCAAATTATAACACAAGATACTTTACAAATGCAAACAACTACAATATATCGTTAACTGCTCATGTCTTAATCACTCTGACAACCATGAAAGATTTAGCGGGAACACTTGGATCAAAAATAGCACTTTCGCAGCAGCGTGCTGTCATGTATTTAGATCAGAAACTGCTTTATCTTAAAGACTTTGGTACACCGTATGAAGTAGCAATTGTTGCTTATGCTTTAATGTTGGCTAAAGCTCCAAAAGCTGAATTTGCTTTTAACCTGCTCACAAATATTCGTCAATTTACTGGAGAATTTTCATATTGGGGAAATGAGCCGCTTCCTTTACCGCCGACGAAACTTGAAAACCAAAAATATTTCTCACTACCTCGACTGCCATACGAATTTGACTCTCTAAATATAGAAACAACAGCTTTTGCACTTCTTACTTATGTCTCACGTCAAGAAATTATGATGGATTCCATTGTTACTTGGTTAAATGCACAACGTCTGACTGATGGAGGATGGGCTTCAACACAAGATACTGCAATCGCAATGAAAGCTTTAATTGAGTACACTATACGAACTCGTATTCGTGACGTATCATCTTTGTCAATTACACTCGAGGCAACATCACTTCCAGGTCAAACGAAGCTACTCGAAATTCATGATCGTAACATCGCTAATTTACAGAGTATAGAAGTAAGACTTTGAATTAATTATTTTGAGTATTTAATTAATTAAATTTAATTAAATGATTTTTTTCAGATCCCGAATGCTTGGGGTACAGTAAAAGTACAAGCTAAAGGTGCCGGTTTTGCAATCTTACAAATGACTGTTCAATATAATGTTGATATGGAAAAATATCAAACTCCACCGCCAGTCAGGTGCTTCGATTTACATACAAAAGCTATCTTTCACGGCAGGAATCAGTCGCACATTAATTACCTCAGTTGTGCAAGGTAAGAAGATTTATATTGGATAAATTTATGGCAAAAGATAATGAAAATTTGTTTGGCTTTTTAGTTGGACGAATGCAAATGAGTCTGAAAGATCAGGAATGGCTGTTTTGGATGTCACTATTCCTACCGGTTACATCATTCAACAGCAGAAACTGGATGCATATATTTTGACAAAACGTGTACGCAATTTACAAAGAGCCAAGTTCGCTGAGAAGAAAGTCATGTTCTACTTCGACTATGTAAGTTCATTGATCATTTTAAATAATTGACATAGCTACTAGGCGTCATGCTTGAATGATGGGATCTAAAATTAAAATATGAGATCCCATCAAACCACAGCATGGTTTAAGACTAGTTATGTGGAATAAAAACCTTTAGTGTCATAGTTTGAGGCATGTTAAGACTATTCGGTCTTGACACAGCTTCACATATTACATATCACTTATGAAGAAACCCCCTAATTTAATTTGTAAATATTTTTAGCTTGACGACGAACCAACCTGTGTAAATTTCACAGTCGAAAGATGGCTTCCGGTTGCTAACATGTCTAGGTATTTACCTATTCGTGTTTATGACTATTATGCTCCAGGTAATGTTTTTCATTCATAAATATTTCATAACAAAAGCATTGATAAACAAAAATTATTCTTTATTTCCAGAACGCTTTAATGAAACGATATTTGACTCACTGCCTACATACTTATTGAATATTTGTGAAGTGTGCGGTAGTTCACAATGTCCATATTGTTCAATATACAATACAGCTATAAGATCACCAATCTCATTCGTACTAATATTGACATCAGCACTTGCTGTTATATTCAGACATTATAGAATAACCAATGATATTAATTGGATTCCACCTTGGAATATTTGGCCAGCTTATTAGATCGTTAACTTGTTCACTTATTACTTGGATTAAGGTTTCATCCTAAAATTGATTTAGGAATAGAAGAAAATCGGAGAATCTTTTTTTTTTATAATTTTTTGCCGTCCATAAAAAATCTGGTCTACAATAATTTTTTATTTTTAATAATTTTAGTTTAAAATTCTCATTTTTATTTTCAATGACGAACCTTACTTACATAAATTTATAAGGAAAAAAATTGATGATATTTTATAAGTTCACACATTGCATGTGACGACTCAAGACAATTTAACTCAAAATTTAGATCAAGCATTGCGTCCAAGGTTGGAAGTTTATAAGAATCTCGGATGGATTTGGAATATTTTGAGTAGTTGGTGCTGTATCCTATTCTATTTGTCCATAACGGATGTCTGATTAGATGGGAATGTCACATAACTGTACAGCATCAAGATTACTTTTGCAGTTGCTCCAAAAACTCCAATAATATTCTAAATTGATCCTTAAAAATCCAACAGACCCCTCCAAACCTTGGCAATGACTTAATAATACACAAGAAATCATTAAATTAGAAATTTATATATCAAAGATTTAAATAAGCATATAAAATGTTGTAGCAATGATTTTCATGAAAATTTTGAAAATTCCCCATTTTCAAAAAAGCCTTTTCAAATTGTACAAAAACTCAAACGAAAAGCTTGACTTTTAAATATTAAAATAATCATAAATGCTGTCTGTATAAAGCAGGAAAAAATAATTTGTAGTAAAAATTTATTCATGTTAAGGGTGCCTTAAAACTAAATACAAATGCACACCAACAACTTTCCAACCAATAATTAAGCAATCCTTTTGTACTACTACCAAAATCCACATATTTTTTTATTAATGAACAGCGAATGAAAACTCATTAACCGTCCGATTCTAATACTTATTATCTCTAAACATTATAAAACTGATTATACACAAATTATGATTATTAATAATATGTTACAACTACTGTAATAGATCTGATATGAGACAATGCTTTTCAGTAAGGATATTTAGTAGAAAAAAAAGTATTTTTGACACATTAGTGGTATTTCCTTTGTAACTAGCAATCATTTCTAAATTAAGTAAAATGTTTTTTATATGTATCGGGGTTCGTTCACAAATGACGTGCATCTTATATATGGTTTTATATTCTTTGGCATAAATGCTATTATTCAAAACCTTCCTCAGATTTAAATCAATCCTGCTCCAAACCTTTCCATAATTGTTAGACGTCACTAGTGAACAACCTCGTGAATATTTTGTAAAAATTGACATAGAATCAACTTACTTTCGAAATAAAAGTAAATTTTGTGGATATACAACAAATATGTTTCGTGAAGTTATGTTGATCAACATGAGTTCGGAATGAGAGGGTTTACGCAAGCTGTAGAAATCTCCATGAAGAAAGATAGTAGACATAAGATAAATGATAAATTAATGTAAAGATGAAATTCTTTTTTGTTTTTCTCATTTTTATAGTTAGAAACATATCAATAAAGTTTTTAATAAAATCATCCAGAACTGTTTTTGATTTTTTAATGTTGCAGATATTATAGATGGCTAAACTGCCTTTTCATTTAATCCAGATATCCAAGATCATCAAACTCAAGTAATAGTGCCTGAATAAAACCTTTATAGCTTGGATTATTAAACAGTGAATAACGAAATTCTTCAGCTTTTGTGGAATTAGCCAAAAGTAAGTCCATCTCTAAATCTTCAGTATTCTCATAGAATAAAAGTGGAACTTCACACATTGCTGCCAGCACACCATTAAATCCACATTTTAATACTTCAATGTGAATTTCATGTAGTGTCGGGATTTTCTTCTTATAATCCAGTGCAATGAGAACAGATTGAAGAGTTTCGTGATAAGCACGAAGCAATTTCTTACTAAATGATGTTCTTGTATCCTCAGTTAATGATCCATAAAGAATAAAATTCAAATCAATACCAGGACTTCCAAAGTATGGCATTTGAAAGTCAATGAACAGAATATCCTGAACAAGCTCATTCTCGTCATATTTGTAGAAAATATTTGGAATCCACAGATCATTATGATTAAATACTGAAAAGCTTTTTTCGTCCCTGATGTAGACATCACATCCTTTATCGACAATTGTTGCTTCAAATCTTTGTAATTTTAAAGATATTTCCTTCCATATACCTCCCCATTCCTTTTCAGCAACAAGTCCCAAAACTCGAGCACAATTGCGATAATGAACGAGAAAATCTTGACGTTCTGGGTTCCTGGAAATCGAACCTACAATATTGAATGTCAATAAAATGTGTGAAGCATAAGACAAATGTTTACCTTCTATATATGGTTCCATTATATCTGGATTTTTATCATACAGAACAGCCGAAGCAGCATGCAATTTTGCTAATTTTACAATCAACGGCAATGATTGATCGAAATTCAATAAACGATTTCGAGGTAGAACTTTGTATCCTTTATCCTTTACATCCTCAAATGCAAGCATCATTTTCGGTTCAGAAGCTGTGTACAAGCATGTTGGTGCAAATTTTGTTTGGTCGTTTATGTCACTCAACTGAAATGTTATTTATTATTTTCATTATCAGCTTCTATTATTATCATTATGACACGCGATAAAGTTCAATTGATTTACCAGTTTATCGATTTCAACCAGTAGATTACGATACGTGTGAATTTCTCTGGGATAAAGTTTGTTTTGAACCATAACAAGTGTTTGGATTTCACCTTCTGGCATCACCTGAAAAATTAGTAATAAAAGATACTGTCACTGTCAGGGATGTATCCAGGTGATTTAGGTAAAGTGTTATCTGCTTAATGATTGATTAGGACAATATATGACAAAGATATGAGTAGCCTTGCGACTAGCACTTGAAAATATAATGAACTGTAGATGTTATCAGAACTGGATAGATTCTGGCATCAGACCAAGGTGTAATTATGAGAAATTTGTAATCAAGTTGTTAATCTGTAGAATCAGACAAAATGATCTATGGGAGATCTCAGCTAGTCTTAATGGATGCGTAGAAGTTGTCTTAGCGTCTGGCTTAGATGTTTTCTAATTGAGTCTGATTTAGCCTCTCCAGATTAACTACTGCTTAACACTAAATTGTCTTCAGAAGTCTGTAGAATACCATACCCAACAAACTTACCTTTAATATAATCGGTTTCCTCCTTTTACAGTCACTGTACTCATAATCGACATTAATCCGATACATATCACTTGCGTAATTATCTCCACGCTTAGTCGCAAATTCTCCCCAAAAATGTTCGACTTTGACATATCCACTGCCATTGAAATGCTTCGAGAAGATGCCTTGCAAAAAATCTAATGTTATAAATTCAGGTAATTTTAATGCCATATTGTTTATGATGTGATAAGATAATGCAAGCGTATTGTCTCGCGGAAAATAAGTTAATAAAAATAATATATTCTCTCTGAGGTGCTGCAAGCCTCAAAGTTAGATTACAACTGAACAACGAAGTGTATGTTTTTTTGGGAAATAAATAAACATGACGACTCTCATTTTATGAACGTGTATATTTTTTCAAATATTTTTCTTACTATACCATCAGCGTTTGAGGAGAGAAAAAAAGAAACAGCAGCTAAGGAACCAAGTCTTATTAAATCTATTGTTTCTCTTTTGATAAACGATCTCAAATGTAATTTGAGAATTGAAAAATGCTTTTCTGTTATTTTTATTCATCCATTGATTTCTAGTTAATTTTATTTATTAGAGGACATAAGAATGTGCTACATTGAGTTATGTTGATTTGCGGTATTTACGGATCCTCAGAAGAAATTCAATTTCCTGTTTCCTACCTTTTGTAAGGATTCAAAAACATCTCGACAAAAGGTACAAACAACAAAATCTATGCCAAATGAAAGCTTTAAAGCTGAAGAAATTATTTTCAAGGTTGCTGTAGAAATCAGAGGGTGTGATTTGGTAAGATTAGCTCTCTAAGAAGTTTATGAAGTTTTGTGCCGGACGCTTATTATAATTATCGCTTATTGCAGCTTTATTCTCAAGATATCTTAAATAATCTCATATTGCTTAGCATTTGGAACTTGATGGAATTAGTATTTATACATGTTTTACTTTTACATTGATTAGTGATACATTTCATATCACTATGGGTGACGTAGAATCAAGCTTGTAATCTTCAAATCTAGGTTTCGATTAAATTCAGGCTCTCGTTTCAATCTTCTGTGGGCATGACGTGATACATTTCAGGTCCGTTTTGACAATATTCCATTATAAGGTAATCTTGTAGCTCTCGTTCCTATTTCTCCCGCTACACTTCAAGTTCCTGATCCATTCCTTAATCCAACGTTGCCCAAAATGCCCAATTATGGCTTAATTTCGTACATTACGCAGTCGAAGTATCTAAACTTCTGAAAAAGAACAAATTTGGAAATGGCTGGATTCGAACCGACGACCTTCGAGTTACCATACCAAATTTGAGCCAAGCGCCTTACCTATTCGACCAGCAAGGCACTTAACTGCTTATTTGAGAGACTCTGAAGTTCAATGTCTAAGAAAAATGTTTACAAACGAACTCTCTTAAGTATAGGCTTAGTCGTAGTCAATTACCTCCATCAAAACCAACTCTGCTTTGAAATATACAGTTCTTACTATGTATGTGAAAAATGTGTCAACACACGGAGGATTAAAAATTTTTATCATCTGCATTTCGGAAAAAAAATATCAAATTACGTGTTAATACATTGAAATGCAAGATTTTTACGTCTGTATATCAAACATAACAATAACAATAACACGGCATGTTATCTCCTAAAACTAAATTGAAAATGACTAAAGCGAAAACAAATAAATTAGAACATTTTCTGATTGAGCGATAATTGAATATGTAAATATGAAGCAGCATATTTTAGATACGCAAGTAATAATATTTCGTACACGAGATGCCTTCAACGTGTTAATTGAGCAACTATAAATAAGTTACGATAAATGCATAAAGTGTGAAATTTTTAATAACTTAGTTTGAAGATTTGGATATGAAATAAGCTTTTAAAACTAGATAAAGTTTTCGAAAATATGTTTGGCTGGTTAAAATTTATGCATCGAGAATTTCTTGATCGCAAAACTACCTACCCTGTTTTTTCGTTATAAGCTACTTTTCATTACTAAGCTCCAACAAAATTAATTTTCATACCCTACTAAGCTCCTAGCTTATAACGAAAATAGAGGTTACTTTTAGCTATTTCTCTGAGTTAAGTAACATCATCTTATAACGGCTCATAACATTTTCGGATGTAACTCTATGCCAGAACGATTATAGAATGTTAATTGGATCTGCTTTTAAGTAGCAGCTTCATTTTCAAACTTATTTTCGTTGACAAAGTATATAAGCTTTATTGAGATGAGTGTAAGTATCTATACTTAATTTATCATGAGTAAATACTAATAAGCATATCCTTTTCGGATAAAACAAATTATATCGTTCAAAATAAGTTTTTATCTTTTTAATGCAGTCTCGTTTTCCACATCCAAATGATTTTGCGTCAACTTTAGACAAATTTTTGGACAAGGTTGAAATTTATGATTTTCTTGAGCTAAATAGGAAGAACAAAGTTCCAGAAATAAACCACCTTCTAGCTGATGAATTCCCAAAATCGAATACCAATTCTGCAGATTTTAATAATAGTTAAGGAACTGGTATGGAAAGCTTTTTTTTTTTGAATTCTAATTTTTGATTGATGTGAATTATGAACTTATTTGAGTTTGAATCGACAGGAAAGTACAACAACTCATTAAACTATTCAAAAACAGAAGAAATGGCCAAAAAGCAATGAATCAAAATTTATCAATCCAAATGCCAAAATTTATCGAATTTATTTATTCCTTCTGATTTATTTTTTTTTTCAATACGTTGTAATGCACAAAAACGAGTTTTAAAATATTATTTGCATTATCCTCTTTTATTATATCGAGTTACATCCATTCACTAATTTCTATGTGACTCCATAATTTTTTGAATAAAGTTGTTCATTGAAGCTTTCCTTACCACACAAAATGAATGTTTGTTTAATATAAATTCGAGTGTTTATGAATTATGAAGGTTTAACAATTAACAAGTCACATGCAGCATTATGAATATCAAGACCCTTACAGGAGATGTTTAGGAATGATTTCTATTAAAATCTGAGATTTTTTTTTAAACTTTTGAGATATCAAAAAAATCTAAATCCAAATTGTGATTCACATCACAAAACTTTAGCAGACAATACTTATTCAAAATTTACGTATAACTTATCATTTTATAACAGTTTACGTACGTTTAAGTCAGCTGTTTGATAAGAGATTTGCTCGAATTTTAGTTCCATTTTCGTTAATTTTTTCTTCGTTTGACTTTATTTCATTGACCATGTTAAGCAGGAATTTATGTACAGCATTGCGGCGCTTAAGAATCACGCCAGCACGAGTAAGAAACATGCTTTACTTATGCAAAATTTTCAAAATAGTAAAAATTCCATACATTCACAGTTCTGTACGTCAGTGGCTGCTCCAGATCAAGGAAATTCTGGATGTGATCCATTGTATGCAGGCATTCGAGCAACACAATTTGTGACCAAACCAGCTCTTATCACTCCAGAAGACTATGCCCCGATTCCAGTTTATCGAGTAATTGATTCCGATGGTAATGTTCTGGACAGCACACAAGAGCCAAATTTGAGCAAAGAAACTTTACAAAAATGCTTCCGAGATATGGTCACAGTCAATGCTTTAGATAAAATCATGTATGAGAGTCAGCGTCAAGGACGAATTTCCTTCTATATGACTAATTTTGGGGAAGAAGCTTCACATATTGGATCAGCAAGTGCATTATCAAGTGAAGACTTGGTATGGGCTCAATATAGAGAGGCAGGTGTTCTATTATGGCGTGGATGGACATTATCGCAATTCATTGACCAACTTTATGGCAATTGTGATGATGAAGGACGTGGAAAACAAATGCCATGCCATTATGGAAGCAAGAAATTAAATTTCGTGACAATTTCAAGTACATTAGCTACACAAATTCCTCAAGCTGTTGGAAGTGCTTATGTCCTTAAGAGGAAGCCTGATAATGATCGAGTTGTTGTCGTTTACTTTGGTGACGGTGCTGCAAGTGAAGGAGATTTCCATGCAGCATTGAATTTTGCTGCAACATTGGAATGTCCAGTAATCTTCTTTGTCCGAAATAATGGATATGCTATATCGACTCCAGTTCGAGAACAATATCGTGGTGATGGAATTGCAAGTCGAGGAACTGGATATGGAATGGCTGTTCTCAGAGTCGATGGAACTGATATGCTTGCCGTCCATAATGGAACAAAGATGGCTAGAGAGTATTGTTTGAAAAATAATAAGCCAATCATACTGGAATCGATGCAATATCGTTTAAGTCATCATTCAACATCGGACGATAGTTCAGCATATAGACCGACTGAAGAATTAGAAATGTGGAATACTACCGAGAATCCAATTAATAAGCTCAAAAATTACATGCTCAAAAAAGGATGGTTCAATGAAGACGAAGAAAATGAGTTTATCAAGTCCATTCGCAAGCAGATTATGGCTCAAAATCAATTATCAGAAAAGAAACAAAAGCCAGACTGGCGTGAAATGTTTTATGATGTTTATGATGATCTCCCATTGAATTTAAGGAAGCAACTGAAGGAAATGGAAGATCATGTTGCTAGACACAAGGAGCAATACCCTCTCAAAAACTTTAAATCTTAAAAAAGGTTTCTTCCAATTTTTAATACAAATTGTGCCTTTTAAAGGAACGGATGCATTTATCTTAAAAAGAATTTATTATATTTTTATGTAAAGGTTTTACTGGTATGATCGAAAAAGGAATTAATAAAATGATATTAAGTAAATTTCCAACGGTTTTTTTTAAATAAAATAATGATTTTTCAAAATTCAAAATAGACGCAGATAAAAGATGCAAAAATTTGAATTCACAAAAGCCGTTAAAATTTAAAAACCATACAATAGCATTAAGCATGTGACCAAATTCCGATTAAAGTTTGACTAATATCCTGACATTAATTTTAATTAAGCAACAATAATCGAACAGCTCATATACAAAGCCTTTAAATGATCACGGAAATGTCATAAAATTGTGTGTCATTTCATATTTTCAACGTTTCACATCATTGTCTATCCATTATTCAAACGTATCATACGTAAAATTATAATAGTTCCCCCGGCATGTGTCTTAAAATAAAATCTGTGTACAAAATATTATGCTTCACAGCACTTTTTGTTATACTCTGTTATATTGAGGGAAAATTGAATCTAATTTCATCGAAAACAGACCCATCGAAAATGTCCGGCCGTAGAATTTTAGCTTGTGAATTTGAAGTGTTTGGCATTGTACAAGGTAGCTTTTGGATGTACTTAATATTGCTTACGTATCATTAAATTCCATCTTTTATTTTCAATATTTTTTCAGGTGTTTTCTTTCGTAAGGTAAACAAATATTAAGTACGATTATTTCATGAATTATATTAACTTGTCAATTTTATAGCACACTGAAGAGACTGGCAGGAAGCTAGGAGTTCGCGGCTGGTGTATGAACACTAAAGATGGGACTGTTAAAGGTCAAATGGAAGGTGAAGAAGGTCCATTAAATCAAATGTAAGTTTTTGTTACTAATCTCTTGAGATTTAACTGCCATTTTTGCACGCTACACGTGACACCCCCACTCCTAAAACTTGATCATCTAGTTGATGTGATTCCATACAAGTTCTAGAATGCATAAAATATTCCAGACATGGATTATTGATTATCGATTTCAGTCAAATCCATAGTCCATAGATTTTTCATCTTTTATCAATTTTATATCCAGCAAATAATTGCTTAGCAACCGATTGACCAATTGTTATTTTGATTGTAGGAAGGAGTGGTTGTCAAAAACTGGAAGCCCATCGAGTCAGATTGACAAGGCTGTTTTTTCGGAACCCAAAGTTATTAGTGACTTTACTTACGACAACTTTAGCATCAAACGTGTACGATAAAGCACCTAAATTATATTAACTGTAACTCAGTGATCTTCATTAAATTAAAAAAAAAACAATTAGCAATAAAGCATCCAGGCATAATTGGAACTTAATGTTATTCTATTTATCATCATGTAATAGTTTATTTAATGCCTTAATACATTTCTCAATTTCAATGTTATTTCGACTGGTATACGATGTTGATACTTTAGTTCCTTTAATACTTAATGGGAATTGTAATGTGTGACATTCAGCCTTTATATTGACAAAAAAGTTGGCAAAAAGTTCTAACTTGTTGTCTGGGTGATCATCAATCTCTTCAGGTACATAAATTGCAAAATGTGTCTTTTCATTTCTTGGCTCAATTTCGATATGTCTGAGAAGGACGCCTTTATATGATGTATAGCGATAAAAAGCTATTGTAAACTTAAAGGCACAGAAAATACGATCAAGTTCAATAACAATTCGGATGTATGAATGTCCAGACTGTAGAGTTATTGGATCACAAATTATATCATTTTCCTGTGATTGTGTTAAAAATGGCAAATATTTAATTTTGGCGGTTCCAGCTGTCAGGTTTTCGTGCGCTTCAAGATGAGTCAATAGAATCAACATGTTGCTTTCATGCTCTATTGTTTCCGACAGTTCCTTAATATCTTGTTCTGCATTTTCGAGATATTTAACAATGTCCGGAAACTTTTTCAAGTCATCATTTGTGAATTTTTCATATTTTTCCTCATCGCTGTCTTTTAGCACTTCCGAATGTGGGATTGGCACATAATAGAAGAATTTATTTTTGTCTATGGCAATTAAGAATTCGTTATTTTGAGATATTGAAAATGTTGCGACTAGACTTAGATCAACTTCGATAATTTCTGGCTCCGATGGTGCTATCATAAACCTCATAAAAATGATTTTATATCGATTTGAGTATATCAAGTGTTTGTCAGTAAATTCAAAACATGTGATTTCATCACCTAGTGCTATTTCAGTTCTTTTAATCACATTTGTTCGTATGCATTGATAAAATATTGTCAGGACCCAAAACTCATCTATAATCATGATTGAACTGTTTAGGTATTTTATGGACTTAATCTTTCCCCTGGAAACTATAACAGTTTCAAGCTGTAAAGGTTCTTGGTTTAATTCATCCATTTGAGTTCTTTCTTCATCAAAAGTACCAGTATATTTTACAAAGAACAGCCTATCGTTCATAGAAACTAAGAATATATCTCTAATATTGTCATTTTTAACATCCAGCCCAAGGAAGAAGTTAAAGAACTCTACGTCTAGGTCATTATCTGTAATGTTGTAAAGCATTTCGCTTGCAAATGTAAAGTTTTCCTTTATTTTAGGCAGTGTAAACTCATTTTCGAGAGTTTGGATGGAGTCTTCAGGTAAAATTAGGTCTACATATCTCTGATATCCAGAATATTCCTTATCAAATGTCTTGTCATAGATGAAAAGTGCTATTTTACAATCAACCTTTGATATCATCACAAAGCAGCTGTTGTCCATGAACTTATAGTACCTTAAATAAAGGATGTTGTCATGCTTAACTTTATCTAGCGACTGTGCTGATCTAAACTTGAATAAATCTCCATTTTTATCATGAACGTATGTGTGGAATTGGTCGGAAATGATGTCAACTCCTAAAATGTAAAAATTAGAGTATATTATTTAAGGAAAAAAAGATCCAGTTATTACCTGAAATGTTTGTAAATTTTGATGCTTTTTTGATCTTTAACGTCACTTTGTCATTATAGGCTGTATTAACTGTAAACTTGATATTCACAATCTCTTCATCACTGATTATCACTAGAAGCGATCCTACGTCCTCATAATTAATTATTTTAGAAATAAATGGATATACGAAATCTAAATTAAGCTCATTCAAATATTCATCAAATTCCTCCAAATACACGAACGGCTCCTGATTACAATTATTGAAACCATAATCTATATCTTCCGTATAATCTATATCCATAAAGATTGGCTTGTTAATTTCACTAGATATTTAATTAAATTGATTTTTACTATTTGTTTTGAAAATTTCCCGCTCAACTGCAAGGGGTGAACTTTTGTATTACTGAACTGAGCATTTTAAGGCGTGGAAACTCGTAAGTTTTTAAGATATTAAAGGATATTTAATGTACCTGCGTGCTAGACTTGAATAAAACAAAGAAATGGCTTGAAAAATTAACAGTCAAAAAAAATTCAAAATGTAGCGATCTTAGAATATTTGAAAAATTGAATCGGTTCAAAAATTGTTTTTTGAAAGTTACCGTTAATATTGGGTTTTTATGACTAAGATATCAAGATAGTGTGCAAGCCTGAAAACAGCACATCTAGCCAACTTCACAGTAAATGTGATTCCTCTTGTATAACTTGACTGTCTTGTGAAAATTGTCGAAACTATACAGTGAAAAAGACACAAAATATTTTGATATCTTATCGCGAAGCAATTTTTATGGTTTCAGTTTAATAAGAATCGTCAGGCACTAAAGCATTCTGTTGTATAAACAAATATTTACATTATTTCGGCTTATTTAAATTAATATACGCATTGAAAAAGTAAGCAAAAGGGTTGACAAATTCACAGAAAATGTTTTCCTTGAACTTGTGTTGTTATTCCATATTACACGTCACGAAGAGAGAGACTGCATATATGTGCAAAAAAAAAAAATCAGTATAAAAATTGAGTGGGTGTTATGTGTTGGGTGATTTGCGTATCATGTCAAAATGAAGAGCAAGTGAAAATTTATTATGATAATAAACTCAATTATGTGTGATTCTATTTTTATCAGACCCGGATACCTTAAAGCTACGTGAGCAAGGTTAGGGAAAATTCGGCCTTGAGATTTAAAGTCGCAAAAAATAAAGTTTTAACGTATATTTCATATTTAAATGTCTTGGACGTGACTTTGGGAATGAATTTCGAATTTTATTACGCAGTTAATTATGCAATATTTCCAGAAAGAAGAATATTGTCCTAAAATAAATTCAACGAGCTATCAAGTTATGTAATCAGCATATCAAAAAAAGATATTGTCTATTAAATGAGCATTTGAGAGAAAATGTTTCTTGAAATAAATCCAAAGATTAAAAATTTAAGTCTGGATTAAAACTTTAATCTTCAGATGTAAAAGTGTAAATAAAAGATCCATTAAATGTAAACAATAAGATTCAGCCAAGCAAAACCCAAAGTGAAAAACAATAGAAATGCATATGCATTGAGTACTAATGTGCACCTTACTCTCTTCGTACTTTTCAGTTGCAACTACACTGTTAAACGAATAACATCGTCTACATCGAGTTCTTTTAAGTCAAATAAATAATTCAATTTCCCTTTTTTGATTTTGTCAATTTCCAAGGATTTAAACCATGAATAACTTAACAAGAAACGCCACAAAGTTCTTTAAGAGTGTAAATATTGTAAGGACAATCGATAATTAAGGATCATTATATAAATCTAATCTAAAATTCAATTTTTCCTACAGGATGCAAAAAATTATGTAACTCAAGAAGCTTCATTCGAAGTATTTCGAGTAAGCAATTTATATTATTAATATTCTCTGTTGCTACAGTTATTAGAATTGCGCAGATCAGTTTATTTTGTATTGTGCAAATTGTTGTTTACTTCCTCATACTTGACATTCTCTCAAAAATCATCTTTTTGCTCTTTTTTGACAGCCATTCAAGACTCATCGCTTGAATAGTGCGCCTTCAACAACAGTCAGTGTGAGCAGAGATGAAGCATTGGATATGTACCGTAAAATGCAAGTTATTCGTCGCATTGAAACAAGTTCCGGAAATTTGTATAAAGAGAAAATTATTCGGGGTTTTTGCCATTTATATTCTGGACAAGAAGCTGTTGCTGTTGGAATGAAGTCAGTAATGCGTCCACAAGATAATCTCATCTCTGCTTATCGTGTTCATGGATGGACATACTTGATGGGAGTTTCAGCACAAGGTGTTTTATCGGAATTAACAGGCAGAAGAGGTGGATGTGCTCGTGGAAAGGGTGGTTCTATGCACATGTATGCTCCAAACTTTTATGGAGGCAACGGAATTGTCGGTGCTCAGGTTCCAATGGGTAAATTCTTGATTCTGTTTTTTAATTGCTTTTCTCAAGGCGTGGAAACTATCCAAAATATCATATTTATCCCACATATCCCAAAAATATTCAAAAAATTCCTGAGCATGTATGCACAATAATAAAGATGTTCCAACATATCCTTAGTGTATTGGTCGTGTAATTTTAGAAAATGATGGGATATCTCAATTCTAATGCATACAGGCTCAGGGATTATTTTGAATATTTTTGGGATATTTGGGATAGTTTCCATGCTTTGGCTTTTCTGGATCTTTTAACTGAAATTTTAAAATTTGAATTGAACCGGTTCAATTTTTTTCAAATACTTTTTGACAGTTATTTTTTTAAAAATAGTTTAAAACCTTGCTTGTGTAATTTTAGGTGCCGGCGTAGCCTTAGCTTGTCAATACAAAGGCAATGGAGGAGTTTGTTTCGCCCTCTATGGTGATGGTGCTTCAAATCAAGGTAAATTAAGTCAATATCACTAATAAAGCACCAGTTTTAATGAATAATACTCCTTAGGTCAAGTATTTGAGGCTTACAATATGTCATATTTATGGAAATTGCCTTGCATTTTTGTGTGTGAAAATAATGGATATGGAATGGGAACTGCATCTGAGAGATCATCGAGCAATACAGAATATTATACAAGAGGAGACGTACTTCCTGGATTGTGGATTGATGGAATGGATGTTTTAGCTGTAAAAGAAGGCACACGATTCGCAATTGATTATGCTGTAAATAACGGACCAATTGTCGTTGAAACAGCAACTTATCGTTATTCTGGTCACAGTATGTCAGATCCAGGCACAAGTTATCGTTCACGTGAGGAGGTCCAAGAAGTTCGTCAAAAACGTGATCCAATTTCATCATTCAGAGAGCGTATGGTTCAAACTGGTTTAGCCACAGTTGAAGAATTGAAGAAGATCGATGGTGAAGTTAAAAAGGAAGTAGATGCAGCTGCCGATATTGCAAAAGCAGAACCAGAAATTGAACTTTCAGAACTCTCGACCGATATTTACTCAAAGACTGCACAAGCTGAAATCAGAGGAGTACGACCAGATCAAATGCTTAAACACTCAACCCTCGCTCGTGGTGTTAACATGAAATAATTTGAAAAATAGTATGTATTCCTTCCATTTCCATAAATATCAAACAAAAAAAAATATGTAACTAAGTTTTCATTAACATGCATAGATTTCAGTGCTGTAACTTTTGTTTCTCTCAATCGGATATTAAGTTTAACTAATAGAAATAAAATGCCGAAAACATTTATCGAATTTCAGTATGAAACGTACTAAAATTCCTTAATTAAAGTTTAAAATTTGTCTTTACTTATTTGACGGCTTTATTCATTTTGAATTTTATGCTTTTTCAGACTAGTTTCTCAAATATTTTTCGACTGTTATCTTTTCAACTTTAAAATTCGTTATTGTCGAATACGAGTGACCACATCTTTGCTGGTAATAAGCAGCATAAAACCTATGTGTACGTAAACGTAACAAAAACAAAAAACACTGATCGCTAAGCTAGCTCTATTTATTAAAATGGAACTGAACTACTTAATTAACATAGTTAATGACTTGACAAACAGATTTGAGCACCCAAAACTACAGTTTGAGCATGAATTAAAGAAGGAATTAGTCAATTTGAATGATTTTGAGAAGAAAATTGTAAGGAACAAAATAAATTCCATAAGCTACAATATTGGTGCCTTAAATGTTCTGAAAATCCTTAAAGAATGTGATGTATGCTCAATTAGTGATTATCTTGAAAGCATAAATGATGAGTTTGAGAAGCTTCAAATTGTTACAGAGATTCTGGATGATGAAGACAGTTACATTCTTTTTGAGGAACTTATTAAAAGCAATAGATTTGATAATTTGATTGATTTGTCAATTAGGAACTATGTCAATGATTTAATTCATCGACAAGACATAATCCAGAATGAGATCATCATGTCTACACATAAGCTATTGACTGGAGATCATTTCGTTAAATGTATTTTGCCAAAATTCTTAAATACTTTATTTCATCTGGATTTTAAGAACCCGAAAGAACTTATTGAAGCTGTAAGCAGCCAAAATGAATGGAATTTAGAGTTTGGAAGTTTTCGAGTTCTTCGAAATGTCATCGACAATGTTATGCCTTTATACAATACCTTTATTGTCAAGGAAATTTGTAGTTTAATTAATAGTGAGAAGAATATTTGCTGGTTCTTTATATTAATGGTGGTTAATTTCATTAAAGATGAGCATGAAGGATATGTTGAGTTGAAAAGTAAGTAATATTTCAACTAGATCATTGACAATATACTGGATCTTTTTTAACAGCTTTTAAAATTTTGAATTTTATTTTTGAACCGCTATTTCTTGACCCAATTTAAGTTTTGAAAGTTTTTTAAACGTTAAATTTTTTAATTTTCAGATTTAATCTATTCGCAAATAACGGCATTTTGTGAGACTAACAGCTTAAGCAGCCTCTATAAATCATTGATTCTTGCCAGACAGCTTTATCATTACACGGACAATAAAAAGAAGCTAAGTTATCAACAATGGATTAAGAACAATATAGGAGACCTGAATTACAGGCTTAAAAACAAATCAGTATTTACAGACATCATGTCCAGTCTTGAGAACTTGATTCCATTTGAAAATGATCTGGATGTTGTCAAAATTCACATATCTGTCCAAATTTCAGCACCCAGTAAGGAATATAGCAATGTTTTGGCATATAAGCAACTGCTAAGGTCCCGAGAGGAAGTTCTACTTAGAGATAATACTCAATTAAGTCAAATGTTTTCTGAATAAAGCTTTAGATCGTTATTTATGAAAATTCATGTTGTTTTCTTACGTTTTACTTAAGCAAAGAGAGTAAGCTATAGATGGAATAAACTTTATTGGAATAAGTCAGACCTGCACAGATCATTCCATCAACTTTGTGCTCCCTATAAATTTAACGGTAACGAAAAATTTGAACGAGAAAAAAGTTGAGAAAAAAATAATTTCAGTAACACAAAATTTGTATTTAATTAAATTTAATGGTTTTAAGGACGAATTAGGCTATTATGGATCTTTTAAACGATTCAGATGTAAGTATATTTCACTAATAACATAAATTCAGCCATTATATCATGTTTAATCACCTCATAAATCGGAAAAGAAAAATCATCACAAATACTAATGCAAATTTTCACATACATACGCACAATGAAAATAATTTTCATAATTCATTGAATTTTCCGTTTAAGTAATTCATCAATAATTTACCTATATAAAATCATATAAAAAAAATAAATCAAGCTGTATAAAATGGATGGCCTAACGATAAACAATTTTTTCGATTCTGACGGTGGTTTTGATGTATGTATAATCTTCCCATTAAATTCCTTGACAATTTCATCCATCTAATGTCTTACTGGATCTTTATTTTTAGTCGGGAAATGGAGCCAATGAGTTTGTGGATCTTGAATTCAACTATGCTGACTCTGATACTCATCTTAATGAGATTGCCGAGCTTTATAGCTATACAGAACATAATGAATTCCAGCTTAATGTTAAGGCATTTGAAGATCAAATGGAAATGTACAAGTTAAAGCCATTATGGCAACAACTGGATAAAGATCAACATCAAAGTATCATTTTAAAGCTCATAGATCAATTGGAAGTGCTTGATAATACGATGAGAATGAAGGCAGCACGTACATTGTTGTATTTAGCACAAGGATGTTGGGTGGAAGTGCAATCTGACGATGAACAACAAAGTTTGAGTCGATATAATGTCATGATGCTCTATAGATTGGGCGTTTTTCAAGCATTTGTGGAACTTTTGAATCTCGAAATTGAAAATGCAGCTACAGCTAATGTTGCAATAAGAAAGATTGCCGTCTCATTAGCTGATTCGGTAGATTTACGTGTCATATTATCAGTTCTTTACATAATTACTGAAGTTATGCGTGCAGAATCGGAGAGAACTGACAGTGAACATTTAGATCTTGTTGATGCATTCGTACAAGAAATTAGTCAGCCTTTGGGCGATGAATTATTGGCAGTTAAATTGCTTGGAATGATTACGAGATTTTGTAGTGGATCTGCTCCACATTTTCCGATGAAAAAAGTTTTACTTTTGTTGTGGAAAGTCTCACTAGTCAGCTTAGGCGGAACTGAAACACTTAAGAAACTTAAAAGTAAGTGTAAATGAATATTAAGGGATTTCAATAATTTGTGATTAATAATTGTTTAATGTTTTTGATAATTGTAGATGAATATCGTGAGAAAGAGGGACTGCCAGTGATAACAGAAGATACACTCGAAGTATCTAGAACCATGAGGGCTAGTTCACCACCACCAACAGCAGGAAATGATGATAACATGGCAAAACGTTCTCGACCATTTCGACGAGTACGTAATATTGTGATTTCTGAGGTAGAGATGCTTTTATTCCGTTCTGCTTCTATCATTCTATCACATTTGTTCTTGATGATATATTTTGATATAAAATCCATTATTTTGTTCTATACATATTGAATTTTTTAAACATTTTGTGACATTTTTTTCGCGTTGAAAAAAAAACTAATTTTTGAAGGATTTTGTAAATTTATTTTTACAAAATCTGGATACTATTTTTATTGCCATGTTCCCAGCGTGAGTAAAAACAATGTCCGATTATTTAATGACCATTTCATAACCCATGATCATATGTTTCTAACAAATTCATTCTTATTTATTTTCCTATTTTCGGTGTTTCTTTAATTAACTTACTTTACTCTTCCAAAAATCCGATAATAACTTAATATTCCTTGTGATTGACAGTAACCAACAATACATAAAAAAACTCAGTGGTTCCTTATTCTCATTTAATTAATCAGGGATACATAACTTCAATTTTTCATGCATGACATTTACATTTCCAAGCCTAAGGTTTATTGAAATTCATTGAAACTCAAACTCAATCTCATTAATTATCACAAAAATCGCACATTTATTTGCAATAGAACAAACTTAATTAAAATTAGAATCAATTTTGGTCATTTCTGGCAAGTTGAAGTGCATTTTCCTCGAACAGAATTGACTATGGAATAACGGTTAATAAATATTTGAAAAATAACTGATGAAGAATTGAATCGGTTCAAAATATTTTTTGAAATGTCTTCAGCCGTTAAATCAGTCAAACTTGAACGGAAGATGCGCTTAAAATCAGAATAGAAATAGGTCATAGACATAGTGTTATTAGTTATTATTTATAGCCCGAAAACAATCAGCACATTGACCCCAAAATTATATTTTCATTACTCATCCTCTTGTGTTCTACACGCTTTTATGTGGTTCTTCACGTTTGAGTGTTGATATTCATCTAATTGGCTACTTATAAAGAATCATAGTATATTAAATTTATTGTAAATAGTAAAATTGTCATTTCTATAAAAGCGTGTCACTCATCAACGTAAAGTCCTTAATTATAGTTTTGTATTCCTCAACATCATGAATCACACACAGAAAATTGAATATGATTGTTGAATCCTTTATTGATGTTCCGTTTGTCGACATTTATTCAAAAATTGAATGTATTTTTTTTGAACATGAGAAAGAATTCCATTTTTGCATGAACATTTTGACTTGAACATTGGGCTGATTACTTTTAGATGGCTGAATAGTTCAGCAAATTGTACATTAATTAGAGTATAATGCATAAGTTTCAAAAATGAACGTAGGATTAATTAGAGAACGACAATATTATTTTTATAAATGTGCCTTCCTATATAAATATATATATATATTAGACTAGTGCTTCTACTAAAACATAATCCTATCTATATCATACACTTTTGGCGTGTAGTTGACGCACATTTTTATCCCAAATCAATCAACTAATTCAAAATTTTTCATTCCCAAAAATAGAGTTTAATGAAACAAAGCTCGTTGGATGAGCAGGAACAACTTGGAATGGAAATGGAAGCACAAAATGCTGAAAATGAAGATTATATTCCTGACTATTACAGACAATTTGATGATCCTATGAATGGAGATAAGAATGGCATGATGCACAATGAGTGTGAATTGAATAAACAGCCATCGATATCAGCAGCTACGACTCAACATCCAACATTGCCGTGGGAACCAAAAGTTCGTCAAAAGGATATCTATCAGTTTATGGATATATCAAGGAGGAAGTTCATTGGTTATACTTTGCCAGATAATTGCGAGACAACTGCTGGACTTCCCAATCCAATTTGTGAGGGAATCAACATATTGAAGCGAGTAAGTAATAACTTAATTTACATTTTGATTTTTAACCGGAAATTTCAAGTTTGAATTGCTTTTGAACCGGTTCAAATTTTCAATTGTTATCTGAAAGTTATTATCAAATATTTTCTGACAGTTTATTTTAACTCTTAATATTTTTCATAGCATCTTTATGTGAGTTTAGCGGATATCCAAGTGAAACGTGAGGAAGAGATTGCACGAAATCCATTGACAAAGGGAGAAGAGGAAGTTCCAATTAATCCAACGGAAGTTCTTTATCAAGCCATTCTTCCAAATTTACCACAATACATGATCTCTTTATTAAAGATTTTACTTGCCGCAGCACCAACATCAAAAGCCAAAACTGAAAGTATCAATATTATGGCTGATGTACTTCCAGAGGACATGCCAATGACAGTTACTCAATCGACAAAGTTGGGAATAGATGTTAATCGTCATAAAGAGATTATTGTAAAAGCAGTTTCAGCTATTTTGTTGCTTTACTTGAAACATTTTAAGATTAATCATGTCTATCAATTTGAATTCATGTCACAACATCTCGTATTTGCAAATTGCATTCCTTTAGTGCTGAAATTCTTTAATCAGAGCATCATGACTTATGTTGGATCTAAGAATATTATTCCAATTATGGATTTCCCATCATGTGTTATTGGTGAGCAGCCTGAATTGACATCTGACTTGGTTATTGGCGATTCTGAGCCATATTCATGGAGAAATATTTTTTCATGCATTAATTTATTGAGAATATTAAATAAGTTGACAAAATGGAAGAATTCAAGGATTATGATGCTTGTTGTCTTTAAATCAGCACCAATTTTGAAGAGAACATTAAAAGTACGTCATGCAATGATGCAACTATATGTCCTTAAATTACTGAAAATGCAGACCAAGTATCTTGGAAGGCAATGGCGTAAAACCAACATGAAAATTATTAGCGCAATTTATCAAAAAGTTCGTCATCATTTAAACTCAGATTGGGCATTTGGAAATGATTTAGACGCAAGACCATGGGATTTTCAGGCTGAGGAATGTACACTCAGAACATGCGTTGATCGATTTAATAATCGGAGATATTTCTCGCAGATATCCAATGCTGTACGCTTTCCAGACCAAAGTAATGTTGGTGGAAATCAAAATCTTGGATTAAATGCTAATAATTGTGACAATTCGATATTTAATGGTATTGAGAATGAATTAAACATTAATAATCTCTTAAATAGTGAGAATTTATTGGAAGTAGATGACCATTTTGAATTAACAAAAGAATTTAAGAATAATTATGAAGCCTGGTTAAAAGAGGAAGTTTTTTGTGCAAATCCAATAGATTGGAACGAAGTTTTAAATGAACCAAATTTGGTTCTTATCAATGAAATCAAAAATGCGATCCGATACTCAACATATTTCATGAAATCAGGATAAACTAATATGTGACATGCATGAATTAATAAAAGTATAATAATAATTGTAATTAAATGGAATTTATTTGTGTTTTAATTGATTTTTAACCGCCATGAAGTGTTGATATGAATGATATAGTGTCTTTTGGCTGGATCTCATAGTCTAATTCACCCAATAGCTCCCAGTCTGTGTCATTCACAAGCACTAGGATTCCAGGTCTTACAGATTCACCTTGCATAAACAGCTCTAGTCTGTCTGTTAAGAGATTATCTTTCATATATTGCAGGAATGATCGGAGGGTCCCTAAAATCAATTACAGGATATAAATTGGTATCGATATGGGTCCTTTAAGCCATCAGTTGTATTAAAAGCACTTAAACCGAAAGAAAAGTAAAGCCACAGACATAAAGAAGAAACTAATTGAACTATAATTTCTATTCTGGATCTTACATTTTGTTCCATCATCCAGTTTAAGTTCACGTTTTTTGATATTATTGAAAAGTACTTCAGCACCACCACTACAAATAAATCAGTTTAGTCACTAGTCAAAAGAAAATGCCAGGAGCTTACCCAAAATCAAGCGTTATATCCATTTTATGCTATAATTAAAGAAAGTTTGTAAACTTGATCGTTTGTTTTGGAAACAGTGAAGCAGAAAGTTTCTCACCCCTCGATTTAACGGATTTTTCAAATTCAAAATAACAGGCGTTGAAATAAAGTTTTGAAATTTTCTCAATTTACAATTTAATTAAATTCACTAAGAATCGTATATTTTAATCAGTTTAAATATGTCAGAAGTAGCCATTAAGGTTGCTGTGCGTGTTCGACCTTTCAATCGACGTGAATTGGTAAGTTAATTAAGCCAGAACTTGATAATTTGTTTATTTTCATTCAAAATTATTTCAAAAAATAATTCAGGAACAAAATCAGAGATCAATAATTCGAGTTTTGGACAATCAGTCGCTAATATTTGATCCAGATGAAGATGAGGATGAGTTTTTCTTTCACGGAACTAAGCAAACTCACCGAGACATTACGAAAAGAGTCAAAAAGAAGCTCACAATGGATTTTGATTCAGTCTTTAACGAAGATTCCGTTAATCAAGATATATTTGAGAATTGCATGAAGCCACTAGTTTGTTCAGTTATGGGTGGATATAATTGTTCAGTTTTCGTTTATGGTGCCACCGGTGCTGGAAAGACTTATACAATGCTTGGCAGTGACGAAATTGCAGGTAAGCTATTGAATCCCATTAAATTCTTGTTGGAATCGACCTAAACTGTATTTCGCAATTTTCCAGGAATAACTTTTTTGACAATGCAAGAACTCTTCAGACAAATTAATGAGTATAGTGAGGAACGACGATTTGATATTGGAATATCATATTTAGAAGTTTATAATGAAAATGTCATGAATTTATTGACTAAAACCGGTCCGTTAAAGCTACGCGAAGATGCAAATGGTGTTGTTGTTAGTGGACTTGTACTTAAACAAATTCATAGTGCTGAAGAGTTGATTGAATTACTGCATTTAGGTAATCGTAATCGAACACAACATCCTACAGATGCAAATGCTGAAAGTTCACGTTCTCATGCAATTTTCCAAGTCCATATTCGTATGGTTGATAAGAAAACAAGCCAGAAGAGAACTGTAAAGTTATCAATGATTGATTTAGCAGGCAGTGAACGTGCTCAAAGTACGAAATGTAAAGGATTAAGATTCAAGGAAGGTGCTAATATCAATAAATCATTATTAGCTTTGGGAAACTGCATTAATAAATTAGCTGACGGATGTAAACATATTCCATATCGTGACTCGAATCTAACGCGTATCCTTAAAGATAGCTTGGGTGGAAATTGTCAGACTTTAATGATTGCTAATGTTTCTCCATCTTCAATGACATTTGAGGACACGTACAATACATTAAAATATGCAAGTCGTGCTAAAAAGATCCGTACTACATGCAAACAGAATGTTATGACTACAAACATGCCTAAAGAGTTCCTTTTAAAGAAATGCAATGATCAGCAAGCTGAATTAGAGAAATTAAAGGCAGAGCTTGAAAAGTATAAAGAACGCACTAAGATGCTCGAGACTCAAATTATGGATAATAATACAGTTGTAAGCATGATAAAGGAATCGAATGAAGGAACAAATGACAGGATGAATTCAATTGACTTGACGAAATGGCACGCAAAGATTGACACAATTTATTCAGAATTCAGAAAAGTACGGGAAAGGTGCTACAAGCTACAGTCCACTGAAAAGTTCCTTAATTTACGAATCAAGTTTAAGGAACAGTATGAGTTGGTGAAGAAGATTATAAAGTTGGATGGTGCATGCCTAGATATGGTAAGTAAATTGAGTGACTTTATGATTTAAACAGTTTTTATTCGAATTCGAATTTTTGAACCGGTTCAAATTTGAAAACTTTCTGACAGTTATTTTTCAAATATTATTTTAACGGATCTCATCTAATTAAAATCATTTCAATAATTAAGTAGACTTGATATATTCCTCTTTATTGTTTCTTCCAATAAGTTTTACAAAATTTCTATTCCTTTCCTGACAATAACTCATGCTGCTTGATCTGAAGAAGTTTCTCAGCTTCTGAGACATGCATATCGCCAATAGCAATAATTTGTCCTTGAACGGAGTGATTTAAATCAGCAGAAATGTCAGACTTCCTCTTGACCTTCTTTATGTATTCATTTTGATTATCTTTGATGGAATCACGACATTTAATAAAGAGGGCCTTTGCATTTTTAGCCAGCATCTCACGATGTTCTTTCGTAACTTTTGGAACCGGTATAAAGACTGTCGTTCCATCTTGTTGAGGATTAAGATTCATGCCACTTTTTGATAATGCTTGAAGAACATTCGGTATGAGTTGTGGAAATCCAATTAAGTTTATAACAATTGTCTTTGGATTCTTTCTTATAATCTGTCCAAGTTCCTGCAATTCATATTCCTTTCCATCAGCACTAACTCTTAATGTTTCGATTGCTCCAGTTGTGGATCTAAGTGACAGATTCTTAGCAAATTCATCCTTCATTGTAGCCAAACATTTTTCCAATTGTGTCTTTAAATTATCAAGATTAATAACACTTGCTAGCTGTAACTCATTCACAACGACTTTTGTTGCATTTTTACTATCCTTCTTTTTGTCTTTTCCTTTTGCATAATTTCTAACCAATTGTACAGACGCGATTTGTGGTCCATTTCGTGCTATTCCTTGAATTACTGCTTGTCTTTGAACATTCTCACTTAAAATGCATCTTGATACTCTCATTAAACGTGCTATATTCCGTATAGATAGCATTTTAGTGAATTAATTCAGTTTGTGTACGCGACTCAAAATAAAAACAAATAATCCGTTAATGATGTCACCTGAAAATTAATTTTTAAGGTTAAATCAGTCGAAGATAAGTTTTAATTTAAATATTAACGGTTTTTTCAACATTTCAGGATCTCTCAAAATTAGACAAGACGATCGATAAGTTTACTAAGGAGATAGCAAGAAAGAATGAAGACTTGACAAAATGGACAAAACGTTTCTCAGACATCATGAGAGCATTAGAATGCTTAAAAGCTGAAATACGAGAAGAAAATCTATACAATGAATTGGAGATGTATTTAAAGAAGAAGCATACAGAAGCAGAGAATGCAAAATTAGTCATGAAAATTGATCACATGAATAAAGTAAATAATGAATATAAAATTGAGACGGAAAATCTTACAAATATCATCACGAAGGCATGTGAGGTCATTCAAGAGAATTATCTTCTGTTACGTTCGATGGGTGAACTTGATAATGCGACACTCGATAAGTTCCAAAAGATTGTGAAATTGTTACAAGGTCAGCGATCTGTGAAATTCGCTGAAGATGACATCACACTCAATCATATAGGAACAGAAGATAATTTGACATTCCAGCACTTGGACATATCACATTGCAATGAAAATCATCTTCAGAGTCCATCGGTTATGTCGAGGAAACGTGTGAATGGAGATGAAAATGAATTGGACGATTTTGAAACTAAAAAGTCAAAAAACGACGATATTTTCGTAAAGCCTAAGGCACTGAAAGCAATTAACTTTGATAATGTTAAGGCAAGTGATATGAATTCGACTTTTGATATGGATATTCAGCCTTTGAAGAATCTGCCTGGTCCCAGCAGAAATAGAGTTCCAACAACATCAACATCAGCAAGTTTGAAAGGTGAGTTATTAATTTGGGGTAAATTTATAGAGTTGGGTCTGTGAGATTAACCGTTGATTTTTAAATAATTTTGAACCGTTAATTTTTCAAATAATTTTTGACAGTTAAAACATTTTTTTTTGCGTCACTAACAACTATTAAATTGTTTTCAGCTATTAAGCAATCAAAGCCAGCCCCAAAATACGCACTGTCCATAAACAAGGAGAATACAAAGAAATTCAGTCCAACAAATCGCATCAAAAAACTGCCGAGAACTCCAAACCGGCTTGCCGGAAGTAAAGGTAAGATAATCTTATTAAACATCCATAAATCCATGATTATTAATTTTATTTTAAAATATTCAGCACCAGCATCTCTGGCGCACCGTCCAATGCTTGTAAAATCAGCAGTTTCATCATCCCTTACGACTAGTTCTGATAAATTTAAGGCAACTAGAAAATAGCTCTGATCACATTTTTTTTTAATTTGAGAATATCTCTCTACAAAGTATTTAGTTTTAAATTATGCATAAAGTTTTAATCATGCGATATATATATATATTTTGGAAAAAGACTTATATTAAAAAATATCGGAAATAATATATTTTACTGCCTAGAAATTTACAGAAAACTAATTATTAGCATTCTAATGCGATACTCACATATTTGCGGATACTAAAAAAGCATTGTCTTCATTATTATGTAAAATATTTTATATCTTATTCAATTAAAAACATTAAAATTATTTGATTTTTACATTATAAAGCTATCAGAACTTGAAGTTGATCTAGTTAAGTCCAACTTTGAGTTCTGTTTTTAAATTCTTCTATATTATCATTAAAATTCCTTTTCAGAGATTGTATCACACGGAAAACTGTTTTTTTGAGACGGTTCTTTAACGTCATTTGGAAATTTCGATTCAAGAAGAACAAAGAGTTCGAAGAGGATTTCAAGTAATTAAGTTAAGATTGTGCAGAGATTCCAAATTCTAATTGATTGTGGAATAAAATTAAAGTGATTTTCAGATTTGTTTATTGTCTCTGTTTCAAGTCGTGCCTTACAATCACATCAGAGAATTAAACTCACGATTTGACAATTATCTACTTACAAACTTTGTTTAATCTGGTTAAGTTTGAGTATTTTAGGGAATTCCAAGATACTTTTGGCTGAAATCTAACGTGAAAGGTATTTCCAAATTGCGAAAAATCCCTAAGTGCAACTGTTGCTTTATTTCAAACACGTGTATTAGGTTCAACATCAATTTAAATGACCATGTTCTTTGTATTTTATGGAGTGTCTTAGAAAGCAATTTAGGAGCTGCTACCAGATTAGAACAACGTCAGATTCTTATTATAAAGCTAAACGACTTCTTCATGATTCCTATTACATCATATATCAAATGCAAAATGGAGAACATTTAAACTGTAAACATAAATCAAACTACTTTTTAGATAAGAGCTATAAACTTGATCATTCATCTCATTCACAAACAAAGTTGCGAGTATGTACACAAAAAAAGATTTTTCATAACACAACACAAAGAGAGAGAAAAAAAAAAACATTTTTCTGGCCATTTCCACCGCTTTCTGGTACAAACAAAACCAATATTTTCATTTTGAGCGAAAAAAGATTCATAATTTCATATTAAAAAGTAATTAAGCAGAACGCAGTATGAGAACTGACACAAAATAATAATTTTACGCTTGCTAGTCTGTTATCTGTTGAGCACAAAACGTCAGATAAATAATAAGAATTTATTGAGCAAACAGCAAGTTTTTCAAGAAGAAAAAAGCAACGTCACATTTTCATCTCACGAGAAGTAAGCCTGAGAGGTAAACAACTCAAATAATACTCGCAAAATGAAATATAAAATAAAATGTTTTCGCCAAGACCTTCGCTCAGTTGATAACTTCTACTCAAGTGATCAAGACGTTAAGTGACGAAACGACAAAGAAAACTTACTATACAGTATCTAAATGATAACTCTGCGACAGTCACCAACGAAGCAAAAACTTCATATTTCAAACTTGAATTATAATCCATAAAAGAACAATTTAAAGAAATCCTTTTCTGATAATTGGATGAGAACATTGAGAAATCATAAAGAAAAAGTCTCCGTGAGCAGAGAGAAAAGTTTTGTGAGAAAGTCAGAAAGACATTACAGAGTCACTGTAAGCAATGTGAATTAAAATTCTCCCCCGCTTTTTCGTCTATAAATGAAAATCGGGGAAATAATCTTTAATTTTTCCTTTTCGAATGGCTTTTTAAAAATAGTTCAAGAAAAAGAAAATAAAGCAAAATTAAAATAAGAATAAGAGAATCTATATTTAAAGAAGAGTCTGTTCCGTATTCTGTTTATATCCGCGCGCGTATCTAGTAATATCAAAATAATATTATTATTATAAAGTGATCGATAACAAAGGAAACATGAGTGCTGTACATAGCAATCAAATTTTTATTCTAAGTGGAACGACAAGCGTTCCATCAGCAATTGCCGCTGTTGTAGCCTCGCCAATGCAATCATCGCTGGAAAGTGGAGATGCACGACGAAGATTTAAGGTTGGTACTAATTAATTTGTTGTTACTTCTACCATTGAGTGACCGACTGTGTTTGTTATTGTCTGATTTGTCTTTGTCGTTGTCTAAAAATACCAAGCAAAAATAGACATGCACACATTTTTTAACTGTTACAAGATCAATAAAACTTGAACTTTAGAATGCAGTTCGAGAGATGGGCTAAATTACTTTGATATACTGTGCATCTTAGCTTCTTGTGCAGAGGTTTAAGAGACGCCGATCATACTAAAGTCCTGTATATGACAGAAACTTGAAAGTTGTCTCGGTTCGTAACTTTCCGTCTCTGACATCAAAATATCTTGCTAAGCTACTGATAAAAAGTTCATCTGACTTTCATCAAATTGGTTTTAATCAGTTTTATCCCCATATAACCCCAAAAGCCTGTCCTTGGACTTTCAAAAATTTACAAAATCAATTCTAATCATCTCAGACTATATCAACCGTAAAAATATTAAAATGTGTTAATTTCCGTGAAATGATCTCCTTCATATAAGCGCGAATGAAAATGATTCTGTGTGCCAAGTCATAAATCGGAAGTTCCTTCACCCTCAGACTGATACAGTTTTCAACCGACGCTTAAATTTATGAGTTTTCTCGAAATTCTTTAAACTAAATTGTGTCTTTGTGAAATAAAGCAGTTGTCGTCTTATCGTAGCATTTTAATAAAACGACACTTTTGGGTTTTTGGCATCGATAAAAGTAGAGCAAGTTATTTTGGTGTGGAATTGGGTTAGATGATGAATTTCGGGATGTTTGATTTTTTATCATAGTCATTCAGGCTTAATTTACTTAGATTAGGAATTATTTCAATGAAAGAGTTCAAGAAAAAATTGATTGAAGATCTAAAGGTATAGACAAAGAAGTTTTGGAGTTGAAGAGAATTTTATTTCATTAGAATCAACCTTATATCTCATTTGATGTCATAAGTATACGAACCTTAAGTGTCACATTGTTTCTGGAACTTTAGAATTCAATATTTGATCTAATTGTCAATCAAAATAGCTCTTTGTTAAAAATCTCAGTTCTGATATCAATATAACACTCAATTCTAAAACCCAATTTACTTAATTGAATTTCCAAAAACTCACTTATTTTCAATACTCCCGAAAATGCTCGACTTAATCATCTTGAATTAAGAAACAATGAAAATTAAACAAGTAATACAAACGAATGATTAAGACATTACATCTCTATAACGTGACAGAATGCATCTATTTGCTTAATTGTTTTTCGTCTTTCCCTTGAACTTGAATTACATCATAAGTAACTTAATTACTAATCGATTGTCATATAAAGTCAGCATAATAATCTTCTAGTTGATGACAGTGCACACAGAGGGAATTGAAACAAAACGTTAGTGATAAGAGAAGCTATTTAATAGTTGTAGGGTGTGCGACACGTTTGGAATTTGTCAACTTTGTTATCGTTTTGATTTTTATGGTTGACAATAACTTTGAAATTGTGAAAAAAAAATCATTAAATGAAAATATGGTCTAAAAAATCACAGCTGTTATTATCAGAGCTCGAAATCGAGGGTTTCAAGTAGACTCGAAGTGGTTTCGAGTTCTGATTATTCTAAGCCTTTGGCGGTTTCACTTTATTTTAATAAGTATTTAAGGAGACATGTACGTCTTGACCATTCATTATACATTACTGTTAGGATCAACCAGAATTTAATCAATACTTTAGTAAGCAGGTATTGTGGATCTGTATCCCGAGAAACTCTAGTCAACACTAGATTTAAAGCTACTAGAGGGTAGTTAAGTTTGAGAATTGTTCTCATGTTAAGACTGTTTCTTTTCATTAGATTTATATCTACAACCTTCAAAAACATTCTTATAAACAGTTTAAAGTACTCATGATCCAAAAATGAATATTAAACTACAGAGTATCGAATCAAATGTTGAGTCTTAGTTCAGTATTCAGATACCAAACTCAAATTTCATTCTAAAATGAACTGTTTACTTTACGAGAAAAAGTACCATTAAAATTTCCCAAATTGCTCAAATCTACTCTCCTCAATTAAATACTCATTCGCACATCTGTGACCTATTTGTGTACGAAAGTAAACTTAATAGATGCTCTTTTTGTTTCAGTTTGATGAGAAAATGAAGATCATTATACTGTGTATCTCCTACAAGTACTTAATGATAATGTTTTCATTTATCACACTCGTGTCCCATTTCCGCTATTTAGCAATCATTTATATCACAAAAATACACCCGCGTTAGCTTGAATTTCGTGATTTTTGGCAATTGTTCGAAAGAAAAGTCAATAAATAAAAATAGAATTCTCGGAATCAAAAAGTGCGTTGTGCTAATGAAAAGACACTGAATAAATTTGCAAAAATAATTAACATTTAATAAAACTTTAATTAACACATTCAGCAACGCCATCCAAAACTATTGTGACTTGATTTGACGTCACACGTTGCCAACGGTGTGGAATGTAAAATTTATCTCGCTGTATAAATTTTAGACCGCATGTGAATGCGAGAAATAGCGCCGAATGTAAATAAACACATTTTGTTCAGGTGAAAATGAGCATCATGCTGATTGAGACTGAATGTCAACGATGAAAATGTTTCGTTCTGTGCATGCATGTGAAGGTTAAAAACCTATTTCTTTCTTACTCAAAAAATCTTCTTTGTGCTCTCTTTTTTTCTCAAAAATAGAAGTCAAATCAGCAATCACTATGTGATTTAATTATCATCCTGATCACGTTGCCAACACTCGTAGTGCTTGGATTAATGCTTGAATCAACAACACGTCAAAATTGGCTAGAGACGACAGAAACTCGATTATTAGTTCTTGGATTAGGCGCTGCATTAGCTGTTGTATGTCTAGCATTATGCATGTATGTGACATCAAGACTTGGCAAGAAATTCTTGTGGGTTGGACCGCAATACACCGATGATTTAGGTCCACATTATTCATACTACGTAAGTTGATTAATTTAAAAGCTTTGCGATGTTACTTCATAATGTAAACTTTCATGTCCTTATCTTATCTTCGAATGCACATCACATGATAAACATTTTTCTCAGTTGTTTATTGTTTAACGTACATCCATATATCTATCAAATTGAATGTCAGATATATGACTTTGTGTATTTGATTAGACACGGGTGGACGTCAATGAAGATTCAGGAATTTTCATAGAGAATTCGGAATTAAAAAAAGATCTGGAAAGACTTAAAAATGAACCTTAGATGTTCAGACCTTAAGATCTGGTTTTTCAGATCTCCAGATCATAGTTTGTAGTAGAATCGGAACTATAATTTCGAGAGTAATTAAGTATCAACGCCAGCGGGCAAACTTCAGTTCAATCAGGATGTGCATGATTCCCAAAAAGCGACCCTCATTAAGTCAAACTATTCAAACCACATTTTAACAAGTTCTTCCATTCTTAAATTTCTAGAATCCACAAGCAGCAGCAGCCGAAGCGGCAGACTTACCACCAAAGTATGATATTGTCATGGGCTTTGACATTCCACCACCAGCATATGATACCTTAATGATTGATAATGAGAAAATTCAATACGAAACAGAAAAGTGTCCAAAGGAATCAACCATTCAACATATTTAGAATCTTGAAGATTTATTTTAACTAAATGGAGAATTTACATATCATAAAGATAAGATTAAGTCAAGGAAGAGTTCAATATTTAACAGATTAAAGGATGGAAAAGCAAGAAAGGAGATAAAGACATTTTCTTCAGTAACCAATTCATAAATAGCTGGCTGTTTGTGGCTGGAAGTAAACTTTAAACAGTTGCTTGGTTATTGGAGATTTCATAATACAGGACTAGATAGATAGCTTAAACAAAATATACCAAAAATATTAAGTGAAAGGAAGTGCTTTAATGTATTTTATGCATTTGTTATTAATTGTTTTTGAGAATGAAAAATAAAGGATCTAGTCATAATGATCAATAAAATGTTGATAGCTAGTTTAATTCATGATTTGGGGTTGCTGTCCTAAGATACAAGCTACTGTAAGAGGCTCAGTGAGTGTATGATTGTTTATTAGGGTTTTTTTTATGTTCTTTGTGGTCGACATATTGATGATAATGCTTTATGTGCTTAACAAGTTGGTATTGATGAGAAAATGATCATAATTGTAGAACCTTAAACTGTTTGGCTATTGATCTTTGGTATCCGCCAGCTTTAGTACTTAACTCATTACATTTTAAGTCATGCTCGTGAAGCAAGTTCGTCTATGATTTGATTTCAACACTTTTTTTTCTATAGTCAAGCTAAGCTCATGAAAAGTAAGATTTACTAAAGAGATCAATGATCCAGATGTTCTAGAACTAATGATTTAATCAATCAAGAGATCAAAAGTCAAAAGCTGTAACATTGAATATTTTTAGAGTATCAACCAGTATAAACTACTTTAAATCGGTCATTTATTATGACTTAAATCTCGAAAGGTGTCAAAATTTTCACAAAAACGACATATCTGCATGGTCAAACAACTCATTATACAATCTACAGAATCTCCGGTTTAAAGTTTTAACAAGTCTTTTTTTAGAACTTTAATGATCTATTTCTTTAAGGTATATCCCGAGGAGCAGCATATCCTGACTTGAGGAAGCATAGGATTTCCTCTCGATTATCCGACTTGTGTTCCTCGGTTTGTTCAAATTACGATAATTTTCATTATCCAATTAGCACTTCTAATTTTGAAATTCTAAAGTTAGTGCCAAGTGTTAAAGTCATGGTTGATTTGTTGTTAGCGACTTATTGCAAATTAAAAATGATAAAGAATGCTAATATAGATATAAAATCGATATTTTTTTGAAAATAGCCTACTTTGATCAAAACCAAAAATGCTTTAAATTGCATTTTAAAACATATCTAGGTATTATAAATGATAAAGAATGCTAATATAGATATAAAATCGATTTTTTTTGAAAATAGCCTACTATGATCAAAACCAAAAATGCTTTAAATTGCATTTTAAACCATATCTTGGTATTATAAATGATAAAGAATGCTAATATAGATATAAAATCGATTTTTTTTGAAAATAACCTACTATGATCAAAACCAAAAATGCTTTAAATTGCATTTTAAACCATATCTTGGTATTATAAATGATAAAGAATGCTAATATAGATATAAAATCGATATTTTTTGAAAATAACCTACTATGATCAAAACCAAAAATGCTTTAAATTGCATTTTAAAACATATCTAGGCATTATAAATGATTAAGAATGCTACTTTAGATATAAAATCGATATTTTTTTGAAAATAGCCTACTATGATCAAAACCAAAAATGCTTAGAATTGCATTTTAAAACATATCTAGGTATTATAAATGATAAAGAATGCTAATATAGATTTAAAATCGATATTTTTTTGAAAAAAGCCTACTATGATCAAAACCAAAAATGCTTTAAATTGCATTTTAAAACATATCTAGGTATTATAAATGATAAAGAATGCTAATATAGATTTAAAATCGATATTTTTTTGAAAAAAGCCTACTATGATCAAAACCAAAAATGCTTTAAATTGCATTTTAAAACATATCTTGGTATTATAAATGATAAAGAATGCTAATTTAGATATAAAATCGATATTTTTTTGAAAAAAGCCTACTATGATCAAAACCAAAAATGCTTTAAATTGCATTTTAAAACATATCTAGGCATTATAAATGATAAAGAATGCTAATTTAGATATAAAATCGATATTTTTTGAAAATAGCCTACTATGATCAAAACCAAAAATGCTTTAAATTGCATTTTAAACCATATCTTGGTATTATAAATGATAAAGAATGCTAATATAGATTTAAAATCGATATTTTTTTGAAAAAAGCCTACTATGATCAAAACCAAAAATGCTTTAAATTGCATTTTAAACCATATCTTGGCATTATAAATGATTAAGAATGCTACTTTAGATATAAAATCGATATTTTTTGAAAATAGCCTACTATGATCAAAACCAAAAATGCTTTAAATTGCATTTTAAAACATATCTAGGCATTATAAATGATAAAGAATGCTAATATAGATTTAAAATCGATATTTTTTTGAAAAAAGCCTACTATGATCAAAACCAAAAATGCTTTAAATTGCATTTTAAAACATATCTAGGCATTATAAATGATTAAGAATGCTACTTTAGATATAAAATCGATATTTTTTGAAAATAGCCTACTATGATCAAAACCAAAAATGCTTTAAATTGCATTTTAAAACATATCTAGGCATTATAAATTATAAAGAATGCTAATTTAGATATAAAATCGATATTTTTTTGAAAATAGCCTACTATGATCAAAACCAAAAATGCTTTAAATTGCATTTTAAAACATATCTAGGCATTATAAATGATTAAGAATGCTACTTTAGATATAAAATCGATATTTTTTGAAAATAGCCTACTATGATCAAAACCAAAAATGCTTTAAATTGCATTTTAAAATATATCTAGGCATTATAAATGATTAAGAATGCTACTTTAGATATAAAATCGATATTTTTTGAAAATAGCCTACTATGATCAAAACCAAAAATGCTTAGAATTGCATTTTAAAACATATCTAGGTATTATAAATGATAAAGAATGCTAATATAGATTTAAAATCGATATTTTTTTGAAAAAAGCCTACTATGATCAAAACCAAAAATGCTTTAAATTGCATTTTAAAACATATCTTGGTATTATAAATGATAAAGAATGCTAATTTAGATATAAAATCGATATTTTTTTGAAAATAGCCTACTATGATCAAAACCAAAAATGCTTTAAATTGCATTTTAAACCATATCTTGGTATTATAAATGATAAAGAATGCTAATATAGATTTAAAATCGATATTTTTTTGAAAATAGCCTACTATGATCGAAACCAAAAATGCTTTAAATTTCATTTTAAAACATACTAGGTATTATAAATGATAAAGAATGCTAATATAGATTTAAAATCGATATTTTTTTGAAAAAAGCCTACTATGATCAAAACCAAAAATGCTTTAAATTGCATTTTAAAACATATCTTGGTATTATAAATGATAAAGAATGCTAATATAGATTTAAAATCGATATTTTTTTGAAAATAGCCTACTATGATCGAAACCAAAAATGCTTTAAATTTCATTTTAAAACATACTAGGTATTATAAATGATAAAGAATGCTAATATAGATTTAAAATCGATATTTTTTTGAAAAAAGCCTACTATGATCAAAACCAAAAATGCTTTAAATTGCATTTTAAAACATATCTAGGCATTATAAATGATTAAGAATGCTACTTTAGATATAAAATCGATATTTTTTGAAAATAGCCTACTATGATCAAAACCAAAAATGCTTTAAATTGCATTTTAAACCATATCTTGGTATTATAAATGATAAAGAAAGCTAATATAGATATAAAATCGATATTTTTTTGAAAAAAGCCTACTATGATCAAAACCAAAAATGCTTTAAATTGCATTTTAAAACATATCTAGGCATTATAAATGATTAAGAATGCTACTTTAGATATAAAATCGATATTTTTTGAAAATAGCCTACTATGATCAAAACCAAAAATGCTTTAAATTGCATTTTAAAACATATCTAGGCATTATAAATGATTAAGAATGCTACTTTAGATATAAAATCGATATTTTTTGAAAATAGCCTACTATGATCAAAACCAAAAATGCTTTAAATTGCATTTTAAAACATATCTAGGCATTATAAATGATTAAGAATGCTACTTTAGATATAAAATCGATATTTTTTGAAAATAGCCTACTATGATCAAAACCAAAAATGCTTTAAATTGCATTTTAAACCATATCTTGGTATTATAAATGATAAAGAAAGCTAATATAGATATAAAATCGATATTTTTTTGAAAAAAGCCTACTATGATCAAAACCAAAAATGCTTTAAATTGCATTTTAAAACATATCTAGGCATTATAAATGATTAAGAATGCTACTTTAGATATAAAATCGATATTTTTTGAAAATAGCCTACTATGATCAAAACCAAAAATGCTTTAAATTGCATTTTAAAACATATCTAGGTATTATAAATGATTAAGAATGCTACTTTAGATATAAAATCGATATTTTTTGAAAATAGCCTACTATGATCAAAACCAAAAATGCTTTAAATTGCATTTTAAAACATATCTAGGCATTATAAATGATTAAGAATGCTACTTTAGATATAAAATCGATATTTTTTTGAAAATAGCCTACTATGATCAAAACCAAAAATGCTTTAAATTGCATTTTAAACCATATCTTGGTATTATAAATGATAAAGAATGCTACTTTAGATATAAAATCGATATTTTTTGAAAATAGCCTACTATGATCAAAACCAAAAATGCTTTAAATTGCATTTTAAACCATATCTTGGTATTATAAATGATAAAGAATGCTACTTTAGATATAAAATCGATATTTTTTGAAAATAGCCTACTATGATCAAAACCAAAAATGCTTTAAATTGCATTTTAAACCATATCTTGGTATTATAAATGATAAAGAATGCTACTTTAGATATAAAATCGATATTTTTTGAAAATAGCCTACTATGATCAAAACCAAAAATGCTTTAAATTGCATTTTAAACCATATCTTGGTATTATAAATGATAAAGAATGCTACTTTAGATATAAAATCGATATTTTTTGAAAATAGCCTACTATGATCAAAACCAAAAATGCTTTAAATTGCATTTTAAACCATATCTTGGTATTATAAATGATAAAGAATGCTACTTTAGATATAAAATCGATATTTTTTGAAAATAGCCTACTATGATCAAAACCAAAAATGCTTTAAATTGC